CTAAAGTGTACTACCAGTGCGTGTTGCTAGTGATGACTTACGGATCAGAGACGTGGTCCTTCACTGCTGGCCGTATGAGGACGCTCAAGGTCGCTCAGCGAGCTATGGAGAGGGCAATGCTCGGAGTTTCTCTGCGTGATAGACTCAGAAATGAGGATATCCGCAGTAAAACCAGAATGACCGACATAGCCCAACGGATTAGTAAGCTGAAGTGGCAATGGGCCGGCCATATAGCTCGAAGAACCGATAACCGATGGGGAAGAAAGGTTCTCGAGTGGCAGCCTCGTACCGGTAGGCGTAGTGTAGGGCGACCCCCCACTAGATGGAGTGACGACCTGGTAAGACACGCAGGAAGTCGATGGATGCAGGTGGCTCAGGACCGTGCTTTGTGGCATTACTTGGGGGAGGCCTATGTTCAGCAGTGGACTTGTGAAGGGCTGTAATGATCATGATGATGATGAAATCGATCTAGCTAGGATTTATTTTTAGAAAATGTCTTTTTGTCCGTGTTTTGAGGCAATGAAAAACTGTTACAATATCGGTAGAATAAGAAGGTAAATTTTGACAGTTTTTTAATGATTACAAATAGCTTAATAGGTATATTAAACGGTCACAAAATCGTAATACCATGGTTCGAGCCCAGACCGACCTACCGACTTTTTTTAATTTTTTTTTTCAAGTTCCTTTATTTTTGAGAAAATCTATTTTTTCGAGCCCTTTTTTTTAGTATTTTTAAAAACACGAAAATTTAAATTAAACTAAAATTGCACTCATGATTTTTTATTCAAATAACCAGTTCAGTTTTTTCTATTATGTCGCTAAGATCAAAAAATATTATTCGTATTTCATCAGTATGTAATTTGTATCTAAATATAATTTCCAAAACACACGAATTAAAAAAAAACTAGCGAAAAATACCGAGCAAAGCTCGGTCAACCGGGTACTTATAATTAATGTGAAGGTTTGTTTAGATGTGCAGATGTCTTACGCGAAAACTACTTAAAGGATTTCGATGAAACTAAGCAATTATATAACTTATACGTCAGAATAACACAAAGGCCATAATTTATAAGGATATTCTAACCATACCACGCGGTTGAAGCTGCGGGCGAAAGCTAGTGTTTTTAAATTTACAAACTGTTTAAACGAGAAAAAGTAAAATAAAATCATAATTCAACTCGTATCACAATAAAACTTTTCAATCTTTTTTCAAGTCTTACTGTTAGTAAAGCTTGGAAAGATACAACAGTAAAATCTGTGAGACAAGCCTTTTTAGATTGCTTAACAACAGGATCAAAAAATCCGGCCTCGAAAGGTAATCGATTAAAATATTACATATAGGAGCCGAGAATGTTTTTCTGCCAGAAAGTCAGTGGATATTAGAAAATAAGGTCACAGGAGCTTACCACAAGACAATGAATGCGGATAGTTTTGAGAAGTGGTTCAGCAGTGTTTTAACAAAAGTTGAACCAAACGCAGTCATTTTGATGGACAATGCGACATACCACTCTAGACGTCAAGAACGATTGCCGGTCACAAGTTGCAGGAAACGAGCCATTCAAATATGACTATTCTTGAAGGATATATTATTTGAATATAAGGAAATGAAAGCTACTTGCAAAAATAAAATATATTAGGGAGAAATACCAATCGTATGTCACCGTCGAAACGGCAAAACAGGCCGGTTTTGAAGATTGAAATTTTGCGCTTACCGCCCTACCACTGCGAACTCAATCCTATTGAGCTTGTCTGGAAAGAACTTATAAGCTTCGTGGCTCGAAACAATACCACTTTTAAAATGGCAGATGTCAAAGAACTATTTGAAGAAGGGCTAAACAATATTGAACATATAAAGTAGAAAAGCTGCATTCACCACGTCCTAAAAGAAGAAAACAAATTAAATGAATTGGACAATGCCATTGATAAAACTGTAGATAGTTTTATAATAAATGTGGTGAACTTTTCCACGTCTTCATCATCTGAAAATGATTCTGAAATATACTGAAGAATAGTTTGTCAAATTTTTTTTGGTTCTCGAGTGGCAGCCTCGTACTGGTAGGTGAAGTGTAGGGCGATTCCCCACTAGATGGAGTGACGACCTGGTAAGACATGCAGGAAGTCGATGGATGCAGGTGGCTCAGGACCGTGCTTTGTGGCATACCTTGGGGGAGGCCTATGTTCAGCAGTGGACTTGTGAAGGGCTGTAATGATGATGATAATGAGTGTGTGTGTCATGTATAAAGTAATTAACGTCCAATTTAAACTTTATTATGAGGGTATCCACGACTTTTTCTGCCACCAGGGTGGCGCCACTGAGAAATGAGGTAAAATATTTCACATTGGCATTTTAAAAAGGAGTAGGCTCTTTTCTTGAAGGTCGCTAAGTCGTATCGGTCCGGAAAAATCTCTGGTGGTAGTCGATTCAACAAGGAAGTTGTGCGAGGAAGAAAACTTCTTTTAAATCGCACGGTGGTGGACTGCCAGTCATCCAGATGGTATGGATGGTATCGCGAATTTGTCGCGATGTGTGATGGTGAAATTGTGTAGCTGGAATTAGTCCCAACAATTCCTCAGAGCACTCCCCATGGTAGATGCGATAAAATACGCAAAGAGATGCAAACATCTCTTCGCAGTGCCAGTGAGTCAAGTCGATTGAAAAGGGCTTGTTCGCTGATGATTCGAACAGCTCTGCACTGGATGCGATCAAATGGAAGGAGCTGGCACTAGGGACCCCCAGCCCAGTGATGGGAACAGTATTCCATGTGCGGCCGAAGCTGCGTCTTGTAAAGTTGCAGGCGGTGAGCCGGCATGAAATACTGTCCCACTCTGATGAGCACGCCCAGCTTTTTAGAGGCCAATTTGGCCTTCTCTTCCAGAAGACCATGAAACTGCACGTCACTCGATATTTCAACGCTGAGGATTCCAATACTGGCTGAGGCAACAAGGGAAGTTCCTTGAAACTGAGGAGATACGACTATGGAGGTTTTTTAAGCAATAACCGAGCAAACTTGTGTCTTCTGGGGATTAAACTGGACTAGATTTAGCCGCCCCCAGTCCGAGATTTTGTTCAACAAAGTTTCGACTTCAGGCATAAGTTATATAATTATAAAAACAGCAGGCGGTGCTCTGCGACGTTTTCCGGAGAAATATTGGCACGGCCAGTGTATAAACCAACCATATAACCACATCACCACATCACCAGTGCCATATCACCATATAACCACATTAAGAGTGCTGTCGTCCGCATAGCAATGAATGTTACCGGTTTGCAACATGTCATTGATATGCAGAAGAAACAGCGTTGGTGATAGCACGCAGCCTTGTGGAACACCAGCGTTAATGGGCTTGTAATCAGAGCATATACCGTCTACTACGACCTTGATGCTCCTATCAGCAAGAAAACTGGTGATCCAATTGCACAATTTCTCGGGAAGCTCATAGGAAGGAAGCTTCGTAAGAAACTCTTTGTGCCGAACCCGATCGAAGGCCTTCGCTATGTCCAAACTAACGGAACTCCACCAAAACCTTGGACTCAACTGCCTCCGTTAATTTATGAGTTAGGTAACCCAGAAGATCACCAGCCGAGTGACCGCGACGGAAACCGTACTGGCGGTCACTAATCAGCTGGTGATCTTCTAGGTACCGCATGAGCTGGCTGTTAATAATGGATTCCATTATTTTAGAGAACAAGGAGGTGATGGCGATAGGTCTATAGTTGGACGGATCAGAGCGGTTACCTTTTTTAGGGATCGGGTGCACGAGGGCTGTCTTCCATGATTTCGGGACTACGCCGAAGGAGTAGGAGTACCGGAAAAGACGCGTTAAAACCGGTGCCAACTCCGGAGCACACGTCTTCAGCACAATAGGAGGGACGCCATCCGGCCCACTCGACTTGTTGACGTCCAGGAAGAGGAGTGCTATGCGCACTGAATGTTGAGTAAACAGGACATCCTGCATAGAGCTTTCACTCCGCGGGATGGTTGGCGATGTGTTCCCCCCGTCATCAAGAGTCGAGTTGGACACAAAGTGAGAGCCCAGCAGATCGGCTTTGTCCTTTCCGGCATGGGCCTGTGAGTCGTCCTCAGTGAGTGTCTCTGACAATCTATAATGAGAAGTTTTATACATGCTTCAGGGTTGACTGCTAAAGAATGCTCAGGATTAAAAGGTTGCCTTTTTACCTGACTGCCAAGTAGTGGTTATGTTTTGTACAACTACCTGCCTACTTACCTACTGTTAACGTAATAATAAAAATTGTGATTTATAAATAATAAATTTAAATTAATGTTAATTTGCTTTTTTATTCATATAAGTACAGAATAATTTTCTCTCTTCATGATACAATAATAAGCATAGAGCCTGCGAAGAACTTCGCACTCGGCACTCTTATCTCTCATTCTGATAATGTATGTAATGACACAAAGATAAAAAAATAAAACCTAAAAAAAGGGTGGCTATCCCGATGATATCTTCAAAGGTCAATGTTCGTTTTCCGCCCACCCTAGAAACATATTATAGTAGATAATATTAATCAACCACTACACAGATACGGTACGTACTCGATCGAAAAAGTTAATTCCAAATCAAATAACTATTCGATTGTGCTCTAGCTTTGGTTTAAACCCTGCAACAATCACATAACAAGTTTCAGAAGTATACTGCATACGTAAGTAAGTATAAGTAGTCCAAACAAGCTTTCGTAGTGGACGTGTTATCGGTCTATCTAATGAAATACCCGATCCGTGCGCGCGATTTTGTGTACTAAATCAGGTGAACGGCGTAGTAATCTTTGCTATTGTCTCGTGAGTGCATAGTGCGTTTTTAATAAACATTTATAATAAAACAGCTCCGACGCGCTGCTGTTAATTTGCGGGACGACCTGCCGCACCCCCGCCGCGATAAGAGTTAGTCGACATAATTGCTGTCCCACTTTCGCACCCGCTTGTGCTACCTGTGCGAACCATCCCACGTCAAACCCAGTTGTTTATAATAAACAACACACCATGCATCAATGCGCCGCTTGTCATTCAACGGTTGACGATTACGATTTCTTAGAATGCTACACCTGTTTATGTTTTTATCATGGCCAGTGCGTTGGTGTTTCGCCCACCGAATTCGAGAGACTCTCTTCTGACACCAAGATGAGTTGGATATACCCTGAGTGTCGCAGCAAAAAACCGCGCAGTGATAATTCAAATACGCTGGTCCGTCCGTCAACACCTACTAATAGTGCCCACGCCGACGCCAATGTGACATCACGCCGTGGAAAGCAGGGAACGTCCAAACAAGCGGCCATAGTCACTTTCGTAGCCGCGCAAAGCGGCTGCTCCGGCTCATGTGTGTCGCGCGTGGAGCTGCGTACGTATGCAGGAAGAACTTCGAGGTTTCATTAAGGAATGTATTAGGGAGATAAAGGAGGACTTAAACAGGGAATTGAAAGCTTTTAGGAACGAAATTGGTTCTATAAAGGATTCCATAAATTTTATTAGTGACTCTTTTGACAAACTAAACACTGAAATTACTACATGTAAAAGCAACATTGAGACGATCTTAAAGGAGAAGGAATGCCTCCGGAATGAATTAAACTCTATCACCAGTGGCTTTAACCAACTCGAACAAATCTCCCGCGCCTCAAACTTGGAAATCCAATGCGTTCCAGAAAGGAAGTCTGAAAACCTATTGTCCATTGTTAAGCAACTTGGTAAAACCGTATCTTGTCCTGTAAATGAAGCGGATATATTTTACTGTTCACGTATTGCGAAAAAGAATGCTTAGAGTTCACGTCCCCGCTCAATTTTAATTAAGTTAAACAGCGCTCGCTCGCGAGATACGCTTTTGGCCGCAACTATAAAGTACTAAATAAACATCATCCGCAAGATAGACTGAACACCGGGCATCTCGGCTTTGGAACAGAAAAAAAAACTGCCATATACGTAACAGAAAATCTGTCGCCTGAAAATAAGTATCTCCATGCGTCAGCGCGCGCTCGAGCTAGGGAGCTGCAGTACTCGTATAAGCATGTATGGGTTCGAGGCGGCCGCATTTACATGCGAAAGACGGATACATCAGAATACATACTTGTGCGAAACTCAACAACATTGGAACGGTTATCATAAGGTAATCTAAATTTTCTCAAGCTAAGCGTACAGTTAATAAGGCTTAAAATTCAATACGTTAAATATTTACTATCAAAACGTACGCGGCCTCCGCACAAAAACCACAGAGTTTTATAATAGTGTATTAAGTTCTAATTACGACGTCATTTTCTTATGCAAAACATGGCTTAACAATATTATATACGATGGCGAACTTTTTAGTGAGCGATATGTAGTGTACAGGCGCGACCGGGATACTAATGACTTCCATAGTAATAAACCTGGTCCTGGTGGCGGGGTGCTCATTGCAGTATCCAAACATATCTGCTCTCGTAGGATGTCACATCTGGAAAGCGACTGTGAGGATATTCATCATCATCATCATCATCATTACAGCCCTTCACAAGACCACTGCTGAACATAGGCCTCCCAAAGTAATGCCACAAAGCACGGTCCTGAGCCACCTGCATCCATCGACTTCCTGCATGTCTTACCAGGTCGTCACTCCATCTAGGGGGGGGTCGCCCTACACTACGCCTACCGGTACGAGGCTGCCACTCGAGAACCTTTCTTCCCCATCGGTTATCGGTTCTTCGAGCTATATGGCCGGCCCATTGCCACTTCAGCTTACTAATCCGTTGGGCTATGTCGGTCACTTTGGTTTTACTGCGGATATCCTCATTTCTGAGTCTATCACGCAGAGAAACTCCGAGCATAGCCCTCTCCATAGCTCGCTGAGCGACCTTGAGCGTCCTCAAACGGCCAGCAGTGAAAGACCAAGTCTCTGATCCGTAAGTCATCACTGGCAACACGCACTGGTTGTACACTTTAGTTTTCAGAGATTGAGGTATACCTGACGAAAAGATGTGTCGTAATTTCCCGAACGCTGCCCAGCCGAGTTGAATCCGTCGATTGACCTCTCGGTCGAAGTTGGACTTACCTAGTCGGACTATTTGTCCCAGGTAAACGTACTCGTCAACAACTTCGAGCATAGTGCTCCCCACAACTACCGGCATAGGTATGACACGCATCTTTATAAATAAGCCAAAAAAAACCCACCCCCCCCCCCCCGTAGCCCTACTGTACAAACACTTCAGCACCTCGATATACCGACAGTCAGCTTGGCACCGCTGAAGGGACAGTAGCACCGCCCAAATTTCGACGGATTCAAAAGCTTTCTCATAGTCCACATACGCCAGGCACAGTGGCAGATTGTACTGTTCGGTCTTCTGTACAATCTGCCACTATGGAGGACGGAATTGAAGAGCTTCTGAAGGACTTCAAGTACCGGTGTTCCACCCGCTTTCAGAATCTCCGCTGTAATTCCATCCTCGCCTGGGGCCCTGCCGTTTTTAAGGTACTGGAGAGCCATTCTAATCTCGCTCAGACTGACGTCCGGGATATCATCGCAAAAGTGTCGGGTAAGACTTGCACTTGTATCGTTACTCACACTTGCGTGTGGCTCCAACGATGACGTGTACAGCTGCCCATAGAACCTCTCAATCTCACTCAAAATCTCAGATGTCCCGGAAACGATGCTGCCACACTCAGTCTTCAGCTTTGACAGTTGGCTCTTTCTGGCAGACAGATCTCTGGCAAAGACTTTGGAGCCCTGGTTCCGCTCGATCGCTTCTTTAATACGAGCAGTATTAAAGTTGCGTAAGTCTTGCCGCATGCATTTGGAGATCTGTCTGTTCAATTGCCTGTATGCTGTCAAATCTGTTGACGATTGCAGCTTCATCTCCCGTCTAACAGCCATGAGATTAAGAGTGGATCGGAGAGTTTTTATGTTCTTCTGCGGCGGTTCTTGCAGAACATAGCTCCGACCGCATGGACAGTTTCCACGAGCTTGTCATTCATATCGTCCATTGCATTGCAATCTTCTAGGCACTGAAAGCGGTTACGTAACTCGAGCTGAAAAGTCTCGGGATTCTGGATTAGAGCACGAGGGGGACGGAGCGTTGACTTCATTAGACGAGACCTCTCCAACTTAACGTTTAGGTTCAGTGTGCCTCTAACCATTCGGTGATCGCTGCCGGTTTTCACCCTTGCGATTACTGAGACATTACTGAACAGTTGGCGTCTGGTCGTCATAATGAAGTCAATCTCATTTTTTGTCGAACCGTCGGGGCTCGACCAGGTCCACTTCCTGTGGGGCCGCTTCTGGAAGAAAGAGTTCATCATAAAGAGTCCCTCTTTCTCCATAAAGTCAGCCAGCTGCTGGCCCCTACGGTTCCGTTGCCCTACTCCAAAAATCTCCCTAACTTCAGCTCACCGCCTTCTCTTGTGCCTAGTTTTGCGTTGAAGTCTCCCATCAACACCGTGTAGTGGGTTTTGGAGGAATACATGGCTCTAGAAATATCCTCATACATTTCCTCCACCTCCTCATCGGGATGTGCCGAGGTTGGTGCGTAGACCTGTGTGACCTTCAGCGAATACCGTTTGGTGATTCTGAGTATCAGGTACGCGACCCTCGTCGACACACTCCCAATCTTTACAACGTTTTTGACGAGAGACTTGTGGACGATAAATCCGACACCTCCTTGGGACGCTTGGTCGCCCTCCCGGTGATAGAACAAGTTGCCGGACTCGAGGATTACCGTGTCCTCCCCCTCTCTTCGGACCTCAGATAATCCAATAATATGCCAACGCAACTTGTCTACCTCTTCTTCCAGCTCCAGTATCTTCTCATCAGTCCTCAGGGTGCGTGCGTTATACGATACCAGGTCGAGTCGTCGTAAGTGGCAACCGAACCTCCACCGGAGATTCTTAGCACCCCCTGCCCCGCCGTTACCATGGTCGCCACCGTAGCCAGGAATAGCGGGGCCGCCGGGGACTGGGGGCCGTTTATTTGTGTCGCTGCTCATGGAGGGATATTTGCCATAGTTGCCACGCTTGGCGAGCGGGTTGGCAACCGCAGTTTTTATTATGTTATTGTTGTTATTAGGAAGATGCTGCTGCCCATCTCCTTTCTGTGTCCCTCTGTCGCCTCTTACGACACCCACGGGAAGATATGGAGTAGTGGATATTCTCAACCGCCACTACACGGCTGTGAGGATGTATGGGTGGAATTAGAGTTAGCCGGAAGAGGTAATTCCTCTGAAAACATATTATTGTGTTGTGTATATCTTCCCTCACCTTTACAAAAAAAACATTCTTGATTGTTACATTGAAAATACAAACCGTGTGTTGGAATCAAATGCAAAAACATTAATTATGGGCGACTTCAATTTGGGTAACATTATCTGGGACAAACGTAATACGTCTTCTCCACTCAGTTTTATAACCTCACTAGATAATGCTCTACTGGATTTTATTGCTCTTAATAATCTCACTCAATATAACTATATTTTAAATGACAAAGGTAGAATTCTTGATCTCGTTCTCTCCAGCACGCTGAAGGACAGTGGTGTGGTGCGTGGTAACTCTCTTCTGAGTAACCCCGACTCTCACCACCCTTAGTTCTAACATTTTCGTGTTGTGATCCGCCAAGTTTATTGCCTAACGCTCAAAGCCAAAGATATAACTTTCATAAGGCGGACTACGATAAAATCATAACACATTTAAATTCAGTTTCATGGGACCGTATACAATCTTCATGTTCGGTTGATGTCATGGTAAGAGAATTTTATGCTATTTTAACAAACACGATTACTAAGTATGTTCGAAAATGTTACCCTCCACAAAAAAGTTTCCAGTATGGTACACAAAGGAACTCATACATCTTCTCAAGGAAAAAAACAAACTTCGTTTGAGGTACCGTAAATACAAAAATCCACTGGACGAACTAGCATTACAAACACTTAGCAAAAGATGCGCCGAATTAATAAGCACCTGTCAAAAAAACTATGTCGCGGATCTGGAGGGAGCACTTTCCAAAAATCCAAAGTTATTCTGGACGTTCATAAAAAATAAAAAACGTAATAGCAATGCTTACCCTACATCCATGACCTTCGGATATGACAAAGCAGATAATGGTGACGGCATATGCAATCTCTTTGCCTCATTTTTCGCATCGGTGTATAACACTAGCTCAGTACTGTCTGTGACCACTGTTGACCAAATTTGTACCTCAAATAATCTTCCTAATCTGCACTTCTCACAAGATCAAGTACTCAAAACTCTTACTGGTCTAGATCGGGCCAAGGGAGCTGGACCTGACGACATACCCCCTTTGTTTGTAATCAACTGCCGCGAAGCGTTATCCTTGTCTTTAACAACCATTTTCAATATGTCTTTAAAATCGGGTACTTTCCCTTCGGT